CTATTTTTTCTGGTTCCACACAGTTCCTTTCAAGGACCCAACACCAGGAAGTATACTTCCAATAGCCCAAGGTATTCCCTTAGCCAAGCAAAACCAATGCTGAAGGTTTTCCCTTCCCCAGCTCCTCCATCATAACCCACCTGCCCTGTGTTTCCGTCCCTAGAATTCCTATTATCTCTTCATTTGATGAACTATTCCATGGAAAGGAGTCAATAGTGTCCTTTCCCTGATACAATTTGCATTTTAGCAGAGATAACATTAAGATGTATTTAAATAGTAGAATACATATTGAGTACTGTTTTATGTTGGGCATTATGCTCTACCTACATCAATAGGCATGGTCAATTCCTAGACTTAAGAAGCTTACGTTCTATGAAATTAAGCCAATGTGGTAACTGCTACAGTAAAGTTGTATATAAAAAGTCCCAGAAGCCCTCACCTTTATGTTCAAGTGATTTTTTTTAAAATTTTTTTTAATGTTTTATTTATTTCTAGGAGAGAGAGAGAGAGAGACAGCGGGAGCAGGGGAGGGTCAGAGAGAGAGAGGGAAACGCAGACTCTGAAACAGGCTCCAGGCTCTGAGCTGGCAGTCAGCACAGAGCCCGCCGCGGGGCTCGAACCCACGAACCGCGAGATCATGACCTGAGCGAAAGTCGGACGCTTAACCGACTAAGCCACCCGGGTGCCCCTATGTTCAAGTGATTTTTAAAAATGTTTATTTACTTTTGAGAGATAGAGACAGAGCAGAGCAGGGGAGAGGCATAGAGAGAGGGAGATACAGAATCTGAAGCAGGCTCCAGGCTCTGAACTGTCAGCACAGAGCCCGATGTGGGGCCTGAATTCACAAACCTCAAGTTCATGACCTGAACTGAAGTCAGATGCTTAACTGAGCCAACCAGGTACCAATGTTCAAATGATTTTTAAGAAGGGTGCCAAGATGATTGAATGGGAGAAATAATAATCTTTTCAACAAATAGTATAGGGATAACTGAATGTTAAAAAAATAAAATAAAATAAAGTTGGGTCTCTCTCACATACCATATGCAGAAATTAACTGAAAGTGCATCAGAGATCTAAATGTACAAGGAAACTACAAAACTCTGAAAAAAACATCAGAATAAGGCTTCATTACCTGGGGTAAGCAATGGTTTCCTGGATACAATACCCCCCACACAAGCAACCAAGGAAAAACTATGCAAGTCAAACTTCATCAAAATTATTAAAAACTTCTCTGCTTCAAACAACACTATCAGGAAAGTGAAAAGACAGCACACAGAATGGTAGCAAATATTTGCAAGTCAAATATATGACAAGAGACTTGTACTCAAACTATGTAAAGGACTCCTGAATAGACATTTTTCCTAAGAAGACATAACAATGACAAATAAGGATATAGAAAGATTTCAGGTTGCTTTTTTAAAAAAATGTTTATTTATTTATTTTGAGAGAGAGAGAGCTCCTCAAACAACTAAACATAGTGTTACCCAGACATTCCATTCCTAAGTGTGAGAGAGCATGAGTGGAGGGTCAGAAAGAGGAGAGAGACAATCCCAAGCAGGCTCTGTGCTATACACACAGAACCTGACACAGGGCTTTATCTCACAAACTGTGAGATTGTGACCTGAGCTGATATCAAGAGTAGGATAGTTAACTGACTGAGCTACCCAAGCACCCCAAGATTTCAACTTCCTTAATCATTAGAGAAATGCAAATCAAAATCACAGTGAGAGATCTCATCACATAAATTAGGATGGAATAATTTAAAGAATACACTATAAAAATTGAGAAAGATATAGAAAAGTTGGAATCTTTGTACACTGCTGATGGGAATGGAAAATGGTACAGGCACTTTGAAAAACCACTCTGGTAGCTCCTCAAGCCACTAAACATAGTGTTACCCAGACATTCCACTCCTAGATGTATACCCAAGAGAACCGAAAACATGTCCACACGAAAACTTGTACGCGAATGTTCTTACTAGCATTGTTCATAATAGCCAAAAAGCGAAAACACCCATGTGTCTTTCAGCTGATGAGTGGACAAGCAAAATGTATCATATCCCTAGGTGGAATATGATTTGGCCGTAAAAAGGAATGACATACTGATACATGCTGTAACATGAATAAACCTTGAAGAGATTGCACTAAGTGAAAGAAGTCAGTCACAAAAGGATAGTGTATGATTCTATTAATGTGAAATATCCAAGGTGGACAAAACCATAGAGGAAAAAAAGTGTGAGTGGCTGCCGAGGGGCCAAGAGGAGTGAGGGAGTGACCGCTAAAGGATACAGTGTTCATTTTCGGGGTGCTGAAATGGGCGGAAATCAGACTGTCGTGATGGTCGCAAAACTCAAAATATTCTAAAAGCCACTAAACTGTATGCTTTAAAGCAGTGAATTTTAGGGGCTCCTGGGTGGCTCAGTTGGTTGGGTGTCTGACTTCGGCTCAGGTCATGATCTCACAGCTCTTGGGTTCAGGCCCCGCGTTGGGCTCTGTGCTGACAGCTAGTTCAGAGCCTGGAGCCTGCTTCAGATTCTGTGTCTCCCTGTCTCCCTGACCCTCCCTTACTCATGCTTCTCTCTCTCAGAAATAAATAAAACATTAAAAAATTTTTAAAAATAAATAAATAAAGCAGTGAATTTTATGGTTTGTGAAATATGTCTCAAATGATCTGTATATGAAGAAACTAACAATAGAACTCCCCTATGACCCAGCAATTAGGAATTTACCCAAGGGATACAGAAGTGCTGATGCATAGGAGCACATGTACCCCAATGTTCATAGCAGCACTCTCAACAATAGCTAAAACATGGAAAGAGCCTAAGTGTCCATCGACGGACGAATGGATCAAGAAGATGTGGTTTATCTATACCATGGAATACTACATGGCAATGAGAAACAATGAAATCTGGCCATGTGTAGCAATGTGGATGGACCTTGAGGGTGTTATGCTGAGCGAAATAAGTCAGGCAGAGAAGGACAAATATCATATGTTTGCACGTATAGGAGGATTAGGAGGAACTTGACGGAGGACCAAGGGGGAGAAGAAGGGGGGAAATGGTGGGGGAAAGGGAGAGAGGCAAACCATGAGAGACTCTTGAATGCTGACAAAAACTGAGGACTGATGGATGTGGGGGGGAGGAGGGATGGGCATGGAGGAAAGCACTTGTGGGGATGAGCACTGAGTGTTATGTGGAAACTAATTTGACAATAAACTATTTGTAAAAAAAAAAAAAAAATGATCTGTATATGAAAAAAGTCCCAGAAACCTGAAGTTTAAAGAGAAGGGGAAGGCTTTATGCAGAAAATGACATGTGACCTATGGATGAAAGTCTGAGGAGTAGTTTTCTGCATAAAATAAAAGGGCAAGGGGTTGTGAACTATATATGGTACAGCTGACTCTTGAACAACACTGGTTTGAACTGCATGGGTCCACTTATACCCAGATTTTCCCACCAAATAGTACAGAATCATAAATGTAATTTCTTTTCCTCATGATTTCCTTAATAACATTTTCTTTTGTCTACCTTACTTTATTGTAAGAATGTAGTATATAATACATATAATTAATTGACTGTTATCAGGTTTCAGTAAGTTATTAGCAGTTCAGTTTTCAGAGAGTCAAAAGTTACACGTGAATTTTTTTGTTTTACATTTATTTGAGAGAGAGAGAGAGTGACAGGGCATGAGCAGGGGAGGGGCAGAGAGAGGGAGACACAGAATCCAAAGCAGATTCCAGGGTCTGAGCTGTCAGCACAGAGACTGACAGGGGGCTCAAACTCATGAACTGTGAGAATATGACCTGAGCTGAAGTCAGATGCTTAACCGACTGAGCCATCTAAGCACACATCTCTATACATGGATTTTTGACTGCTCAGGAGTCTGAGCCCCTACCTCCACCTGCACTGTTCAAAGGTCAACCGTATTCGGAAAATGTGTGACTAAGTGTTGCCTAGGAAAAGGTTAGTGGGAAATAGAAATAGAAAGGAGGGCCTGGATCAGCCAGTTTCAGCAGGAAAGAGAAGGGGTACCAAAAAGGAGTAAAGAGAATGTGATAAAGATATGGATGACAGAGGTGTGAACAGAGTTCAAAGAACCGGAAAGGGATGATGAAGCTTTCCTCATACGAACAACAGCCAGAAGTTGTTATGGTCCCTAAGCCTACAGGTCCAATGGAGGAGAAAATGACCAGAACATAGAGCTATAGCTATAGGAAAGAACCAAATCCATTCGGATGTTAGGTAGAGGAAGGTGGCCACTGCCAAACCTTGGAGGAAAGAAGCCCAAGGGTGGGGCGAGGGGTGAGATACTGTGATTGCTGTCTTTCCCACCCTCCAGTCTCCTGTCAGCTGACCCAGAAGGCAGAGCACAGAACCTGTTGATACAGTCCTTACAGGGCTGCCTCCTGGCGGGGAGAGCTGGGCCAAGTGTGAAGAGTGAGTCTGGAGAGGAAGCAGCTCAGGGCCAGATCATAAAAGATTTGTGTGCCTTGCCAAGCAGTCTGGACTTTGTCCTGCAGACAGGAGGAAACTATAAAAAGGATTTACGTAGGGAAGTGACTGCAATGTGATGGTTTGGACAGGGAGAGCCTAAAATTGGTTCTCAAAGTGTGGTCCCCAGACCAGCAGCATCCGCATCACCTGGGAACTTGTCAGAAATGTAAATTCTTGGGTCCCCTCACTAAATTACAGGAGTGGGACCCAGCAATATGTATTTTAACAAACACCTTCAGGTGATGCTGGTGTGTGCTCAAGTTGGAGAACCACTGGCCTAGAACACTATTCCGGAGTCACACGCTCAGAAGAATTACTGAAAAAAGCATATGTGTAGTGTATGTGCATAGACATATCTGGAGGGATATACTTCAAAATATTAATAATTCTTATCTCTAGGTGGTAAAATTGCATGGGTTTCTCTTTCTTCTTTTATTTGCACTTTAATGGCTTTTCATAATGCACATGCATTTTGAGATTAGAAATAAAAGTTATTTAGAAGAGAAGGTGTCGCTTCGGCAGCACATAGACTAAAATGGAATGATACAGAGAAGATAAGCATGGCCCCTTTGCAAGGATGACATGCACCTTTGTGAAGCGTTCCATATTCTAAAAATAATAATAAAAAATAAAGGAGAAGGTAGAAAATATAATGGAATTATGTTAGTACTTAAATACTTAAAAATGTTAAAATGTGTCTATATAACTAAATTACCACAAAGTTAAAAGAGATGTCAAGCTGAGAAGAATTTGTAAATTATATGAGTGTGGTTTAATAAGAAAAAGAATATCCCACTATAAAAGTTGGCTAAAGTTGTAAACCATAATCTAAAAAGGAAGATACTTGAATCAGAATGTGAATTTTTAACATGTGAATATGAATTGAAAAAATTAACATTGCCATTCATCAAAGAAATGAAAAATAAAAACGAGGCACACTTTTTGCTTATCTGATAGGCAAAGATCAAGTAAACCAGAGTTTTGTGAGAGTGTGGAAAATGAATATTTTATCATGTTTTCAACAAGATTATAAAGAGTTACAACAACACTTTTAGATGGAAATTTCAAAATATGTTCTGAAAGTCTTAAAATATAGTCTTTGATCAGATAGGAGTTTTTCTTGAGAATATAATCAGATAATTGTCCATAAGTATACGTTTAGTTAATAAACATTGAAAGGACACTTAACCTCACTACTAATCTGAGAAACTCGATTGAAAATAATAAGCTATATTTCATCCATGACACTGTCAAAGCTTAACATTTTTTCCAATGTCAAGCAATTGTCGAGGTTCTGAAAATACAGATATGTATTGTTGGTGGGAAGGTGACTAGGCATATCCTTTTTGGAACACAAATCTGGCACTATTTTAAAAAATCCTATGCTTACCCTGACCCAGTGATTCTACTTTGTCGGTGTCTAACCTAGAGAAAAAAATACACATCCACAAAGAGAGATACGTAAGCTCATGCATGTTCACATACTATTCGAAACAGACCAAAAAAAAAAAAAGAGAGAGAGAAATAGCCTAAACTTCCATACATAAGGAACAGGTAAATAAGAGATAGTAAAGTCATAATATGAAGGAATGACTTGTATTTTTTTTCTTTTTTTAAAAATTTTTTTCATGTTTATTTATTTTTGAGAGAGAGAGAGAGCACACGTGGGGCAGAGGCAGAGAGAGAGGGAGACAAAGAATCCAAAGCAGGCTCCAGGCTCTGAGCTGTCAGCACAGAGCCTGACCTGAGGCTCCATCTCACGGACTGTGAGATCATGACCTGAGCTGAAATCAGACGCTTAACAGACTGAGTCACCCACGTGCCCTGGATTTCTATAGAACTATATAGGAGCAGATTATCAAAAACATTGCTGAATGGGAAAAAAATTGCAGAATATATATGCAGACCAATGCTGTTTGTGTAAAAAACATAAGACTTTATTAAATGTTTTTGATACATACTTATGTATCAAAATGGATTCCTAGATGCACCAAATTCATCATAATTATTTCCTCTGCAGAGAAAAGAGAGGACCAAATTAGAAGATAGGAGCCAAGGGGAGTTTTTATTTTGCTTGGGACAGTTTCATCTCTCTCTCTCTTTTTTAAAGAATATTTGTATGCTTAAAAAATATTTATATACATGGAAAGGCTGAAAAATAATGTGTTGAAATATTAATAGTAGTTCATTTTGGATAATGGGAAATGGGTATTAGCTTCTGCTCTCTATATTTTTCTTTATTAAAAATTCAAGCTCTTCCCCAAAAGAGATGTATATAAAAAATCTTTATGCTTTGTTGAAGAAGAGGAAGGAGGAGGAGGAGAAGGAGAAGGAGTAGAAAGAAGAAAGAAGGAAGGAAGGAAAGGAAAAAGGAAAGAAAAGAAAAATCTGAAAAGCTGTATAGTATGTGAGTCTGGCTGCTAGTTGTTGGGGGAAGGAGGGAGGAATGGGAGGAGCACAGAGGATTTTTAGGGCAGTGAAACTACTCTGGTATGATATTATAATAGTAGACACATGTCATTATACATGTGTTCAGACCCATAGCATGGACAACACCTAGTGTGAATCCTAATAAATTTGGGGCTTTGGGTGATAATGATGTGTCAATGAAGGTTCATCAGTTGTTATAAATGTATAGTTCTGGTGAGGGATGTGGACAAGGAGGGAGGCTCTGCAGGTGTGGGGCAGAGGGATACATGGGATATCTCTGTACCTTCCTCTCAGTTTGGCTGTGAATCTAACACTGCCCTAAAAAAATAAAGTCTGTTAAAAACAAAAACCCAACTTAAAAGTTCCAGTGTAGAGGACTGATAAAGTTATAGTATACTGTAGAAGACACTATCATTAAAAACAATAATAATATGAAGACATCTTTAAGCTGCCAAAAATATATGATAAAAGTTTTTAAAAAGGCAGGGTGCCTGGGTGGCTCTGTTGGTTGAATGTTGACTCTTGATTTTGGCTCCAGTCATGATCTCAGGGTTGTGGGATTGAGCCCCATGTCAGGCTCCATGCTGAGTATGGATTCTTAAGATTCTCTCTCTCCCCTCTCCCAGGCTTGTCTCTCTCTCTAAAATATGATAATAATAATAATTAATAATAATTTAAAAGGCAAGTGCAAATAGAAATTATGTTAGGAATCCATTTTGTGAAAACAAAGTGAATGTTTCTGAAGGATGGATCTATGAATAAATGTCTTTTAGCTTATCTGTATTTCCTCACTTATCTGAAGAAAGCCTTATTAATTACAAAATAAAGGGGACAAAAGAAAAAGAATCTAACAAGGATAGAAAGAAAGATAAGTCAACGGCACACCTAGTATTGCCCTAGGTGATACTTGATTTTTATTTGGCTTCTATACATCTTTTATTAGTTTTTAAAAAGCACAACTGTTCAGCAGTTCCTTTTCTCAGAAAGACACTCAGAATTTCATACTGCCAACGGAAACTCTCTGATGGGCAAAAAGGGTTTGAAATATAATTTCAAATGACAGTGCAAGTGATTTATTGCGGTACCTCCTAATGTGGGATGGTGAGGACACAGCAATGCGCTCCACGCACAGGAGCCCGCATTCTAGTACCCACTATTATTTCTAAACTGTGGAGAGCCAAGCCACCTGATTCAGAATTACCTGGAGAGCTTATTGAGAAGGAAGCTCTGGATAAGGCCTGACTTTTGGGACAAGACGCTCTTGTCCCAGCAGAAGCAAACCCTCTGGAAGATTTCCTATGCACTCCAAAAATTCACAAACCTTTGCCAGAGGCTAATCACTGAATCACTGGGACTTTTCAGAAACCTGGATTTTTCATCAAAGTGCCGGTCCTAACAGTTGCAGTGAGGATAACACACAGTAGCGTCTTTGAGCTTGCTTTCAAGAATCCAAATACCAGAGAGGTAGAAGCTATTGTTATCAGTTACACTCCCTTGGAGGTGGAGCCTAGGCCTTTTACGGATGACCTGAGACAGAAGGAGATACTTCCAGAATGAATTATCTTTAGGTAGTTCCAGATAGGAAAGTTAGTATGGGTCAGGGATTCTTCTCAATACAAAGCACAAAGGAACTGTGTAGGAAGCAGAGGCCAGCCCTATCTCACAGGCAATGGCTTCATGGACATATAGCAAACTTCCTAGAATGCAGAGAATTTTTCTCATGCATCACAAGGAAAGTCTGCTTTTGACAAAGGACCCTCTCCAGTCCCTCAGGATGATAAGAAGTCTGGCTAAATACTCCTTAGAAAACTTGAAAAATGATTTGCCCTATCCCTTTCCTGCCTCCAACCAATGTCCGACTATAGGATATAGAGTGAGAACAAGAGAAAATGTTCCTCCTCGGTAAATATGAACTTTAGCACACATGGAGCACCCTCTGGAGTAGAATCTAGACCTACACTGTTCCCTATGTAACTACTGGTCACATGTGGCTACTGAGCATTTGCAGCGTGGCTTCTGTGAAATGAGATGTGCTGTAAGTGTAAAATCCACAGATTTTGAAGACAGTGTGAAAAGGGAATGTAAATCACTTAAGATATTTGGAAAGATATCTAGGATATATTTGGTTAAATAAAATATATTATTACAATTGACTTCACCTGTTTCCTTGTATTTTCTTTGTAATGCGGCTACTGGAACACCTTCAGGTTTATATGCATCTCGTATTTCTGTCAGACAGCAGTGCTCTAGAACAAAATAGTAAGCAGGTGCTGCCTAGTAAAGCAATGTAAGTGGCAAGTGGGCAATCTATTGCCTCTCAGCCTCACCCAAACAGAAGCCCAGCTTCTATCACAAAAGTCTCTCGATGATCTCTCACATTGCTGAGATTTTGCTCCTTTCCTTTGGTGAAGTTCCTTGTGAAACGAGAGATGCACTTTTATTTTCACTTTTTTAAATCTCCCAGTTCCTCAAGTTCAGAGCCACATTGCCTTCTGCATTTTGCATGGCTCTTCACCCCCTATGAACGCAAGGCAAAGATCTGACCCACAATGATCACCATCTGTGCGGGCTCCCTTCTGTTGTTTATACCTGATGGATGTTAATCAACCTTTGTTGTTGTTCATTAGTGTTCAGGTTTATAGATGAACAACTATAGCTAATTGATGAGCCTTTATTGCTAATGAGCAAAGGCTGATTGAGAGATGACTGAGTTCTAGTTAACTCTGAATAATAGATCAAAGGCAATTCAGGCACCAGAAGACACCTGCTTTGTGCAAAGCGGAGGCAAGTAAGTACAGGTTTAAATAGGAAAAACAGAAGTGGGATTAGAATCATACCCAGAATATACCTTCAGTAACCACAGCAGGAAGACCTTGGTCTGAGGAGGCAATAGCTGGGCAGAAGGAATTTTAGACTTGAGTTTAGATTCTGGAGCTGATCAAGACATGTCCCCTAAACTGGGCAAAGCTAGAATCTGTAGCAGCTCTTTGTGTGTTTAAGTACACATCGAGCTCTTCTTACAAAGTGATAAATAGTTTGTGCAAGTGTACACACATCTACGCCAGCACACGTGTGTGCACATGCACACACACACGCACACACATTTGCTCGCACATGTGGTCTCCACCATACCCCTTCTGTGGCTAAAAGCTCCAGAGTTCCCACAAAAACCCCTCATGGGA